AAGGATTCAATTTTAATTCTCTGGCTGTCTCTATACTGCTGTATGGCCCTTTTTTCCTTCTGTTATATTAAAGATGCTTTGACACACTCAGGCTATACCGATGCTTTTATGCATTTATTTTTCCAGCTGTTCACAGTTTGCTAATAAAAACATAACTCTCCGCCTTCTCAGTGACATGCCTTCGAGCAAAGCTCTTCCCTTTGTTTTCTCGACTCTTGAAACAGCTTCAGTTCCAACAGCTGAGTGAAGAAGTCCACAACTGTATCGATGATAGCTCAAGCTTTCTCTCACCTGCCTATTCCTCTTTCCCCTGTACGTGAAAAACACATTAAACGCTTGATTTCTGCATTTCCAAATATGTCGAGCCCCCCACAACACCTCTTCTCTGGGACAGGAGCTCAAAACAGCTGGAGCTGGATGCTACTGCCCCAACTTATCCCAAGGAACAGCTGTTTGTCACCAGCACTTGCAAATGCTCCTCTTCCCGCCGGGACAGCGCTGGATCCCCGGCAGCGAGGTCCAGAATTCAGGAGCCCCCGCAGAAGGGAGGGAGAAGGGGAAGGGCCGCGGTTCGGTGGCTGGGCCGGGCTCTGTCGCACCGAAGATGTGCCGGGGTGTGCTCACAGCAAGTCACCTCCGCTCCAGAGCTGTCCCAGCGGCACAAGGAGGTGGTGTGGGGTGTGCAGACGGTCTCTTGGATCCGGCGCTGCCTCCTCTGCGCGCTGGAGAGGCGGCTGTTCCTACCCACGGAACCAGTGCCAACATCAGGCACTGACCGCTGGTTTACTGAAGGAAGCGGGTTTTAGAGCAGCTTTGCCTCTCCTGCAAAGCCCTTTCTAAGCACATAAGACGAAGGAATTTGTCACCTTTCCAAATAGCAGGATGACAAAACCCTCAGCTCCAGGGCAGCACATGCTGCAAATGCTCCTTCCCCGATCTAAATACACGGAATCCACCAAATCTTGCACAGGGCAAGACTTCACCAGTAAGGAACAAACAGCACCCTGGGCTCCAAGCAGCTGTTAAAAGCTCGTCTGAGTCTGTATCCCCAGGCAGATTTGTACTGCTTCTTTCACAGACGAGGGAGGTGGGACTGACAACTCCCATCTCTCCTCTTTTGCAGCAGATACAGTGCCTGGAGCACCAGACTCAGCACCCAGTTTTGTGCAGCTCTTCACGGGACTGCAGCCAACCTTGGGGACTGGCACACTGCAGGTAGGGGTTATCCAGCAGATATCCACCCATCCTCAGCCTGCAAGACCCTCCCAAGGCAGTGACTGCTAATCAGAGAACTGTTACAGTACGAGAGAACAGCTACCTTACTATAAACAGGCAAGTTCCAGGGAAAGCAACGTATAATTATTGTAACATTACTCTTAAAATATCTAGCTTGGCTCTAAGTATTTAAACCACAGACAAACCAGTTTGCTGCTATAGAGTATTAGTTCCCTTAAACAGGGGAGTGGCTTGCCATGCTACTAGAAGCTACAAATAACCCGGGTTTCTTCTACCTCTGAAACGTTTTTAGAAATGGCAGAACCATCCAGCAGCAAATCACACTCAAAACGTTTCCCCCTTCTCCCCTCTGGGAAGTTTTTTACAGGGCCTTGTCTGACAGATTTCCTATCTGCAGATGAAGTGGTCTGAACTCTCCAGAATTGGAATTTATCTTGTCTGCTAAATGGGCAACAGACTGAGCTGTTTTTCAGAGGACAAGAGGAAAAGCTTTCCCATGTGTACAGTCAGTACACAGAAGCTCAGTAAGTGTTACCAGCAGCACAGGTCCTGCAGCAGGGCCTCAATGACACCTCCTGGTCTCTGGAACACATCACAGCACTCAGCTTTTCCAAGGCTTCATCAGAAGCTGAAGTAAAGCCACCAAAATTCGATCAGGAGTGGCTCATTTAAAACACAGCCCACAGATATCCTTGGAAAAGGCATTCACTGCCCACCCCCTGCAGTAGAACTACCAGTGTTCTCAGTGACAAATTCAGCTTTTGTATCTTTACAAAATGGAGTGCCCTGGAAAGGAGGTAGTCAAAAGGGAGCTCTGAATTCTATATTTGAATGAGACTTTTATTTACAGAAATTATCTGTGAGCATTTCTTTACAAGATACCTGTACCATCACCTAGCAGAGAAAAATCAAGACTGATTTTAACAGTCTAGTTCAGCAATTCTCTCTTGCACCTGTGTTGCTCTGTGCTGATTTCATAGGAGGGAAAAAATACCTGTAAAATAAAATATCTTTATAAATTCCTGTCTGAATTTCTCTGCTACCCACACAATGGTCTGGAGTTCAGTTTAAGCAAGTCAGTGCACAGAAAGACCAAATAATAAGGGGAGAAAAAGCACACAGTGAAAAGTCAGTTTAATGAAATCTTGTATGACAAATTATGGCAATTATCATAACTGGAATTCCTAAAACTAGAGAAGTTTATGGGGAAACATGGTAAAATTTTCAAATATGTAACATGTTTCTAGAAAGGAAATAAACCATTTTCTACACTCACTGGGAGAGCAAGAGGCCAGTTGAACTGCAGAATGGGACACGTTAGGAACAGTCATTTCATAGCAGGAATACCCAAGCAATGGAATCAACTGATATTTCAGTAACTGGGAACAGGGAGAATCCATTACAAAGCTGGAGGTTCTTTTTAATTCCTGCAGGCTTCTAACAGGTCTGGTCACCTCTCCCAACTTGTTTCCAGTGGAGGATGGCTGAGGACTCATTTATTTAGATCATTTCCTGCCCTGTCTTCTCTGAAGCAGCGGGAACTGGACAACAGAAAGATGTTGTAATTACACATTTCCTTACCTTAATGTTTATATTTCCTGAGGGTGTAATTTTATATTTCATTTTATGGATAAGAGGTTTACTTCTGGCTTCAGTGACACCACCACTCTAGCAACATTTTCAGAGACTCACAGAACACACTGAGTTGGAAGGGACCCATCAGGATGATCAAGTCCAACTCCTGGTGCTGTGCAGGACACCCCAACAACCCCACCATGTGACTGAGAGAACTGTTAAAATGCTTCTTGAACTCAGACAGCCTTGGTGCTGTGATCACTTCCCTGGGAAGCCTGTTCCAGTGCTCAACCACCTTTTCCTGAGATCCAACCTAAACCTCCCCTGACTCAGCTCCAGCTGTTCCCTCGGGCCCTGTCACTGGTCATGAGAGTGAAGAGATCTGTACCTGCCTCTCCTCTTCCCCTCAGGAGGATGTTGAAGACCCCAGTGAGGTCTCCCCTCGGTCTCCTCCAGGCTGAACAAACCAAGTGACCTGAGCAACTCCTCATAAGGCTTCCCCTCCAGTCCCTTCACCATCCTCACTCCCTCCTTTGGACAGTCTCTAAGAGCTTCATGTCTTCCTTATATTGTGGTGCCCAAACCTGCACACAGGACTCAAGGTGAGGCTGCCACAGTGCAGAGCAGAGCAGGACAATCCCCTCCCTTGCCTGGGTGGCAATGCCATCTATGCCCAATGCCCCCCATGGCCCTCCTGGCTGCCAGGGCACACTGTTGACTCAGCATCAAATGGGCTCAGCTTTATTACACTCTTCAGTGTCTTTTTTCCCCCCTGGAAAACCTGAAAGGCCGTGGTCATGTGGGTCAGCAGCCAGAACAGGCTACACAAGAATTGCCAACCCCATCCATAAGTTATCCACAGACCTAAGGATGGAGCAGGAGTGTGGTCCAGGTTCCCCACCCTCCCTTGGACAGCCACTGCCCAGGACAGGAAACACAAGACAGGGCTCAGGGTGTTTTGTTTGCTTGCCTGGCACAGGTTTTAATGTAGTTCCCATGTACATTTGGATGACAGCATCATAGAGATCTTTTGAGACACATGGGCACTATCTGGTTTTGCCTGTCACTGGTTTACTAAGGCTTAAAGCAGAGAGCTAAGTCAGGGCTTTGCTTTGGCCTAACTACATCTTGCTGGGCAGGGCCTGAACTAAACCCACAGCCAATTCTGTCAGGGGTGCACAGTAACATTTCCCTCTTCACTATAAACATTAATGCAAAGCTTCTAGCTAACATGAAATCTGCATCAGTAAATAGTTGCTGATGTTTTTAGAATGCTCTAGGTGATTGTGTACCACCAAAGCCCATCAAGGCAAGCATGCTTATTTCATTTTTTTTTTCAATCTTCATGCACCACCAATTGCATTTTAGGTAAAATACCTCAAAGTGAGACTCAGCATAGACCCCATGAAGTCTGGGACAGGAAACAATGCCTGTTTTCCCCACAAATAGACCTGTTCACCAAGAGACCTTATTAATTTTCTTTATGAACAACAACCTGCTGACAAGAAGCAGCTTTATGGCTCAAGGGTGTTTGAAAAGAGTAGTTTAAATCTGAGCACCTTAATAACATAAAAAGATCCCAGATCCAAAATGCAGATCACTCACTTGAAAGTACAGAAGTGCCCCAGACCTTGTGATGCAGGAACAGCTGTGAGGTGGGTGCTGAAGAATGTGCTGTGCTCCTGTAAGAGCATGGCATGGTTTGGGGGGCAGCAACAGGTCTGTGCATTGTTAAAAACCCCCATAATTCTAAGGGGGAAAAAAACCCCCAAAGTGCAAGAAGGTATGAGTAGGCAAATCCAAAGAAATCACAGATGCAGTGGCACAGCTTATCATTAGCCCTTTTCACTTCCCAGAAAAGTAATCCAAGATGTTCCTTTCAACTGGCTATCAGGAAAAGCAAAGCACTCCCTGCCCCAACAACATCAGTCTCCAACAATGGTTAACAACAAATAGAAGGGAAAAACTTGTTTTTGACTGCCAGTGAAAAGCATGTTCCATTAAAACAGAGGCAATAAGGATTGTTCTGCTATTTGAATATTCAATTTCAAAGTTGATTTTGTGCTATAACCTGAGTTTCCATTTTCAATTCGTGCTACATTAAAAGAAAATGAAAGGGGAAGAAGCATTTAAGTGGTGCATTTTAGATCTCCTTAACCTACAGAAGAACAAGAAGGACAAGTGAGAAATTATCTGCCAGTAAACTATTTATAAAGAAAGTAGAACAATTTGGGGAATTTATAGTGAAAGTGATCTGGTCACTGTCGTTGGTGACTACCAAATTCCAACTTTGCTGGACAAGAACATACTGTATGTTTTAATAACAAAATAAAACTCAACTTTCACACGAAAAGCTCAAAAGATTAAAAAACAAAACAAAACAAAAAAAAGAGTTATGGTTACAGTAGGAGTACTTCAGAATTACACACAGGAAAACACATTCTTGCTTTTATTTTGGTGGAACAGAATACAATAACCTTCAGCCCAAACTACTCAAGGCTGGCAGTATTACCTTTTTCTTCATGCTGCAAGACTGAACAGGGAAAAAGGAAACAGAACAGGGACAGGAAGGGTTAGAAGTTATATTTTCTATTTAAGGCCATTAATTCAGCGAGATACTTAAAAATGTCCTCAACTTTAAGCATGAAGAGTTGCATTGACTTCAGTAAGATTATTCACATGTAGTTAAGTCAGGCAAGTGCTTAAATGGCTTGTTGAATCAAGCCATTAAATGAGCTGCTTTATTATACAATTTATTTTAATGGCTGGCAGAGCTCATTACATGAGCCTATTTTATTCTTCCAAGGGCTAACAGCTATTTCCTCATCAACTTTTCTGAAGGTGTAACCTGTATGCCTCCTACACTTTACTGTAGCCACAGAAACATAATTTTCTAAGAAAAATTGTATGCAACATCTATTATTTATAGTGGCTTAGCTCTCCCTTAAATAGTAACAGAACAGTACAAAACAATAGTTTCACTTTTTCAACACACAAGAGCATCTTATTGAAAAAAACTAAAATAAAAAAAAGTTTCACCACAATATAAATCCCCAAATAATAATAATGAAATGGGAAGAAAGAAAGGAGTTAGCAAAACATCCTGCGGGCTCTGAAGTCTCTTATGACTGCGTTAAAAAAAGCTTTTCTGGTGAACCACAATGTTTTGTTTCTCTCTGTTTACAAACCCACCAGACAGGGAGCAACGGTGTCCACAACCTCTGCTGGGATTGAAAGGGAAAAACATAACCTGCCCCATCTGCAGTCCAAAAAGAGGAGAAACCCAAAAGGGCAGCCAGTGAGCATAGGAACTGGTGAGGACACGGCTTCCCTGCACGAGGGGGAGCAGAGGCTGCAAAAGCAGAATTCGAGTTGGAACCGCATCAAAAGGTTCTTTCTATCTCGGAGGCGCCTGCAAGACACGAACTACTGAAGAAACAGTCAAAAGGTCCCAATGAAAAGCTGTGACAAGCTGTAATGTGCCATTTTAATTACAAGGAAGAGGGGGAAATGTTTGGGGTTGGCTGGGGGATTTTTTTGTTTTGTTCTGGGGTTGGTTTTCTTTTTGTGTTTGTTTTTTTTTTGTGTTTGTTTTTTTTGTGTGTTTTGTTTGTTGGTTTTTTTTTGCTCATCAATATGATGAGCTTTCAACGTCCCAAACCACATTCAGGTAGTTTCCAAGTCTGCTTTTTTTTTTGTGTGGAATCTACTGATCCAGACCAAAAAAATCAAACAAACAGAACAGGGATGCACAGTTCTTTAGTCCTGGAGCCTTCGACACTGCCTGAAATAATCGCTGGCCTGGGGTACCCAGAGATGCCTGCAAGATGGTGTTCATAGCAGCCTTGCAAGCAGGTTGGCTCACATCTGCTATGTGCTGCCAACGTTCTGCCCATCACCTTCATCATTAGGACCTGAAACAATAAAAGCAGTTCTTGGTCATAAGAAATATCTTTTGTTTCTCGCCGTACAAAAAGAGACCCGTCCCAAGCAGGCTACACAAATCTCAGGTTCAGGTGTTCAATAACAATGAGAACTGTAGAATTCCCCTGGCCTTACATTTCCTTCTCCAGACTAAGGTCTGTCCACTGTGGAATTTTATATTCTTCATTAATCTGGTTTGGGGACCCCAGTAGCATCCCAGAGTCTAAAAGCTCAGCTTCCAACCTCTTCAATCCACCCACTGCTTTTGTTCATACTCATTCCTCCTTTTTACCTGCAGTGAATCAGGACAGAGGACTGGTCTCTGTCAAAGGCTGGATGTTCTAAGGCACAGGAAAGCAAAGTACAGATGGCTTCCAAGTCAAGAGTACAAAAGGAAGCCTTCCTCAAACTGAAGACTAGTGCTTTTCTTTAAGTATGGTCTCCTCATGTACAATAAAAATCATTGCACTCTTTCCATGCCCCTTTGTAAACCTTCTGCTCTCTACTCAAAGGTCAGTCTGGATCCTGCCTGCTGATCCCAAGTTATCCCAGGTTTTATGTGCACCCTTGGTCGTGGTGAAGGTAAAAATGAAACTCAAAACCACCCCTTAGAAATCGTGTAAATGAAACAAAGCTCAGAAAACTTCAGCTAAACTGTGGCATATAACTCAGAGAGACCCAGCACAGGGGTCTTTTACCAGTTTGGAGAAGAAGCAAGAAGCAGCTGCATTCAAAAAGCCAATTCATGCAATAGTCCTACTGCACAGACATCTGTGAGAGGTAACAGCCAGAAGTACATCTACAATGTACAGAGAGCACAGTCTGCTCTAAGGAATGACACAGAAAAACACAGGGAAAACAGGAAACACTTGTCTTTCCTACTTACCACTTCCAACTGCTCCTGAAGGTGCAATGACATCATCATCACTGTCTTCCTCGTTTGACTGTGTTACCTCTGGCTCAGGTGCTACATTCTTAACCTCCTGCTCCTGTTCCACCCTGCTCCGCAGGGCCAGGATGCGATGGTGCAAAGCAGCAAACAACTGCCCTGTGTCTTTAGAGCTTGCCTGCATTTGGTAATGTTCAGAAACAAGAAGGTGCAAGGAATTAGAACAAAATGCTGCTGACATAACACGCACCAGTCAAGCCAAATTTCACAGCACAGTTTTCAGTTTTGTCACGCAGGGTTTTTCAAACCAGTCAGAATGGGCTGTGACACACACACAACAGACACACTGAACTCTGATGGTGACAGTATATTCTTCTGCTCAGCTCCAACTTCCCCTGGCTAACATACCCCATACCAGCTGATTTCACATAACCTTCTTCACCCAGAAACCACACAGCTTTTCTAACACCTCCCAAAAGTTTATATTAAAAAGATCTCAGATGAAAGTCTTGCAGATTTTTCCAGGTCTGTCAAGCATTCAACTTCATACAGTAGTTAATCATAATCAAGTCAGTTAGTTGTTTCAAGATGCACTGACATAAAATTTCAACATAAGACATAATGAGAAAACTGAACAGTCAGACAGGTTGATTTTTTTTTTAGACTCTGTTTCAAAGGGAAGCATTTGTGGCAACCTGTCCAAGAATATGTTTTTACTCTCAGAGGCACCTTAAGCCTTCAATACAATCAATTATTAGGCCTGTTAAACTAAATATTTAATGAACATCATTTAAAAGGGAAACTTCCTTCAAATACTACAAAACTCTTGTCTTCACCAGGTCAGTAAAGTCCTCATATTAATTACTATTACCATTACTCCAAGTCAACTGTAAGGTAACAATCCCACTTCTCAGATTCTTTCACAAAAAAATTGTTTCTATCCTCCCCATCTGTCACCTCTATATCTGTGAAATTCCCTTGCAATGAGCTGTAATGAATAAATAATTCCAAGCAAGATACTTTTTATCAATACTAAAATCAAGAGTAAATAACCTGACGACAGATTAACTCAAGCTTTCAAATCTAGAAGAATACTGAGAAAAACTTACCCAGTAATTTCACTGCTTCTTCATCAAGGGATATTTGGTATCATTAAGTTCTACTCTGGGACTCCAGATCCCAGTCCTACAAACCTAATGTCTCGGGGGAAGCTGACTGTTTGTTGCTGTTCTCTTAATTTCTGATCCCTCTGAGTACTAATTCTTTTGCAACTCCTTGTGTAAATCAAAAGTGTAAATCAAATCATCAGTGTAAATCAAAAGAACATATTTGGACCTCTCCAAATCTGTAAGTGTAATGTTAAGCAATAATCTCTTCCTTGCTTACTGTATGATGAGCTCTCAAGTGTTTCAGTAATTCTGACTGGCATTGCTGTTCCCCATTCAGCAAGCACAGTAATCCCTTTCACTATCCCGTTACTGCTTTGAATACTCTGTATCAAAAGAAAATCGAAGTTAAAATGTGTTACCCTTAACTACCAACACAATGTTCTTGACAGAGTTTTAGTGTTTCCCTTCCAGTAAGCACCTATCCATCCTCCCAAGCTGTGACAGCACTTCTGTACTGCAAGTTCCAGCAGATCTAATTTCATTAACTCTTGCATAGAAACTTATGAAATAATGCTCGTTTTCCCTAATAGCAAAAATCAATCTGCATTAAACACTATAGTCACAGTCTCAGTAGGGATGGAACAGATCCCATGACTCCATGGGCAATGCTTTGGACAACCTGGTTTCCTAAAGCAGCCGTGGATGTGGTTTTTCTTTACGACTAGCAAGGCTTTTTGGACAAGCAAATCTGCCAAGCCCCTTGTCTTTGGGGTAGGGGTGATATTAATACAGTGTAGGGTGCAAAAAAAATGGGAATGTTACCTCAACTACAGTTTAAGCAAGCACCTATTCAGTAGGAAGGTTAAGATGTAAACAAAGACCAGTACTCACTGATATAAGAAAAACTTTAACTCCCTGGTCCTCTGTATCCATGGCAGTGATCCGGATGCTCTTCTCACTGGCTTTATCAATCTGCATCTGGGCCCAGAGCTTGGTATTTAGGATTAACCTGAGACTCCCCTGAGTCCTCATCACTAAAGCAAAGTTACAAGATCAGTTAGGTGGAAAAAGACACACCAGGAAGCTCAAAACAGCCAAGACATCTTTTTATTGTGTAAAGGTTTCAGTCTCTTTACAAAGAATATCAAGGGAAAGCCCTTTTGGGGCTTTTGTTCCACCTGTTAATAAGAATGTAGGTTTATGCTGGTTTTGGCTGGAATAGCCTTCACTTTCTTCCCAGTGGCTGATAGGGGTCTGTGTTTTGGATTTGTGCTCAACACAGGGTTGATGTTTTTGTTATTGCTGAGCAATGTTTGCACAGAGCCAAGGCCTTTTCTGCTTTTCCTGCTGCCACGCTGGGAAGGGGGCTGGGGGAGGCATGGGAGTTTGGAGGAGACACAGCCTGGACAGGGGACTGACCAGAGGGATATTCCAGACCATAAGACACCATGCTCAGTATATAAAATGGGGGAAGAAGAGGAAGCAGGGGGATGTTTGGAGTGATGGTGTTTGTCTTCCCAAGTTACCATTACACAGGATGGGGCCCTGCTCTCCTGAACGTGGCTGAACCCCTGCCTGCCCATGGGAAACAGGGAATTAATTTCTTGTTTTGCTTTGCTTGCATGCACAGCTTTGGCTTTCTCTATTAAACTGTCTTTATGTCAATCCACAAGTTTTCTAACTTCTACCCTTCTGATTCTCTCCCTGATCCTGCTGGTGGGGGAGAGAGTGAGCAGCTGCTTGGGGGCTGCCTGGGGTTAAACCACAACAAGGTTGTTAAAGATTATCAGTCATGTCTAAAGATACTTAGTCCAAAGTCTTATATGTTAATACATCAAAGTTCAGTGGTTGTATCTGAGCTGATAATCTCAGGCTAATGCACATTCCCATCAGCCTGAACAATCGTGCACCATTCAAAGAGGTTTTACAGGTAACCCATCCCAAAGGGCCCAGATCTGGATGATGTTACCATCCATTTCTGGTCAAATATTCTAGTTACTAAATACCTCTTGCTTTTATGAGGAAAAAAGTAACTGGAACATTTGCTGCAACAGAAGGACATGGAAAGATACTCTCTTTGGAGGCAATGTTCATTAACTGAAGCAAAAGAAAAGGCCCAAACTCCTTCTGAGTTGCTGCAGCTAAGACATGACCTAAGGGGGATGTTGCTGTGTGTCATGGAAGCATGCTATGAAAACAGCCTGACTGTCACCCAGTATCTCATTTCCCCTGGTTCCTCTTACCCAGTCGAGACTGTAACGTTCCATCATCTGTTGAGGCCATATCATTGAGTCTCAGGAGGCCTCGACCTCTTTCCACCCAAGACTGAGAGCTTTTATCAAATACAAACAGCTTGCACTGAATCTGTAACAGAAAATATCTCTGTAGCATAGTGGTTGATTGAAGTAATAATGTATTTCTTAGTCATCTGCAATTGGTTAAAAAAATATTCAGATTTCGTGTTGAAATTTTTAATTGTTCATAGCTATGGAAACCAAAGCAGTCAACTCTTCCTTTGCAATAAACTCCTCAAAAATATACTGTCTGGTTTCATTAGATTTTATTAACAGAAGCTATATAATCTTAAAGAATATCTGGGTTCAAGATCAAAACAACAAGAACAATTTTCATAGAGGAAACTTAACTGCCTTAAATCAGTCAACTCTTTTAAAAGCCTTAGGTACACATTGCACCACTGAAAGTGGTATTTGTTGCTGGAAAGACCCAGCATAATGAAGGCAAAGCAAAATTTTTCCTGAATTCAGGAAAAAAAAGGATGAAGAAACATGTTAGCTCGTGATCAATTCATAAAGCCTGACCCACACAAAGTCATGAGTAATTGAGGTATTTCCACTACCTCCCTGCAGGATTCATTACTTAGAAAATTCAAATTTTTTCAAATGGTAGGATTGCTCCTTCTTCCATACAAGCTCCACTTTTCTTCCCTGCTGAACATGTCTGCTCTGTACCCCCACCTCTAACCCATCTTCACTGTCACTGCTGAGATTTCAGAGCTCAAACTGTCACCCCTCAAGTTCCCCACAGATGTGCATGCACTAGGTGGAGAAGATATTCCCATTTTCATTCCCTCCATTTCTTATTTTCTCCACTCCAGGAGATCTAGCTCTGCATACTCTGTTTCTGCAACATTAACATAGTTCTGTATGTACAAGTCCCACTTGGAATTCAAGTGCACTACATTTCACAGGGCAAAAAGAACAGATCTCTTGCCAAACTTCTGTTAAGTTACAAAATTTATGCAGCTCAGTCCTCTATTAAGTGTACAGCTGCTAAAAGCTGTGGTTTTCCTAAGTGAAACAGGAGCCTCATCTCTTCAGTGTCTTGTTCAATTATGTGAAGCATCCAGACATTTCTGAATTACACAGAAACAGAAGTACCAGCAGAACTATTTAAAGAGCATTCATGTCTGGTAAAAAGAAGTCAAAGAAGACTAACATTATAGATGATCATTTTCTGCAAGATAATACAAGTGTAACTGATACACATTAGTTACTGACACAGTGCAACTGTGTGGTGTCAGAATAGGCAGCATGTCTAAGAACAAAAATCTGTCCTTAAAAAAGAACAGAGTTCAAAATGCTGAGAAACTTAAAATATCTCAAGAAAAAAAAACCAAAACAACTATAATTGGAGGATAAAGAGAGAAGAGAAAATAATTCATATACCACTTCATTTTACACGAAACCCCTGTATGTTCTTCTTAAGGATATACAAGAGTTAATAAGTATATTTAAGTTAATGAGTAATTACAATGCTAAATAAATCACAGTTAAAAACAGGAGTCTTAAGTCATGACCAAATAGCCTTCCAAAACATCACTAATTCAATTAAATACCTCAAGACAAGTTCCAAATGCTGTGGTATGGTTTCTGCTTTGCAAGAAACCAGACTGCTGCCATAAATAGTTGATTCCAAGTTTTAAAAAAAAATCTTCAGTAGTACAACAATTAGAAAGAACTTTAAAATATTTAGTTCACTTAAATTTTCTTCAAATAGTTGTGCTGTATGAGACAGAAGCTTCTGTGTGATTGATTCAGGAAAATCACCAGGAAAAGCCACCTGGATGGCTTACACACTAAAATTTATTCAGAAAGAGGAAATTAAGAAACAACAGATTACAAGATAACAAGTAAGGATCTGATAATAAATATCTAAAGTTTGCATTTTAACACAAGAAAGTACAATAAAGACACAGAGGAAGGCTGAGTTGTAGGGAATCAGATGGTGTGGATTCACTGGACATCCACATGAATCCCCACACACTCAGAGCTCCTCCCCACTCTGTTCCTTACCTGTAGGACGTTACTTTCAGCTTCCTCCCCAGTAATCACTTCTACCTTGGCTAACAAACACTTCCTTGCTGTGGCTTTAGTATAGGCTGCTGCAGACTCTGCCAGTGATTCTGAAATATTATTAGCTGGACAACATTTTGAGAGTCTGAGAATGATTAGCATGTAATTTCATAAGATTTATAAAGGTCTCACACAAGTCTACCAGAACTTTGAGAAGTTTTGAAAAGTACAGAAGACAGACCTTACTAGAACACGTGAAAAAGGATGGAAATTTTAAGCAGAAATCAAAGCTTGTCTTTTAATACTTGCTTTACAAGCACAAGACACAAGGGACTGAAGAGCTAAGTAATCAAAATTTCTGCTCCTACACACAATATTTCAAAACCTTTGCATGGACAACTGCATATCTGTATGTGCTCCAGCAGGGCTGATCCTGCTGCCAGCCACGTGCCTACAGAGGGACAGCACAACTCATTTTCCACTTTTCTTTGGGCTTGCAGGCAGTTTGCTGAGGAAAACCCACAGTTCCCAGAATTTCCATAAAATCTTGCCAATTTGAAGCCACATAAGTCTAGAATCCAGCAAAGAGTTTTGAGTTCAAGCAATGTATGGTGCACCCACTCAATGCAATGCACATTTGACTCAGATGTTCAGTTACTGGAAATACAACAGAATTGTTAAAAAAAAAAAAGGTTTGCCACATTTCTTCTACACTCTGGTCCCAGTACCAGTTCTGTTAATTCCCTCTACTTTCACTCTGCTAAAGATACTCCCAATACCACCAAATGACCATGAACAAGACAGTACATGCTTAATATAAGAGAATCTACAGCATCCAGCACCTCCCACACCCACCCTGTATCTCTGGAGACAGTAAAGGCAACATAAAAATGTTACATTTTTGAAAAGTAACAAGATATTGAAAACTACAATAACTTAAACATGGATTAACTACCCTTCCCAAAGTTATAGTTTGTTTTTCACCTTTCTCTGGCGTGGCCTCCTGAGAAGACGATTCAGACCCAGACTCTGTAGCAGCATTCTCCTTATTACTCTCTGTACTACCTTCATTTGATTTTGGTGGACTCTATCACAAAAAGGAGGTAAACAAAAGAGAGAAAACACACACTTATTTTGCTGAACAGGACTAATGGTCAGTTACTGAGGGAAGCCCCGCTGTTTATGAACCATATGCAAAAGGAAAATCTGACAGACAAAAGCTTTCCCAGTAAAAGCCATCCTGCTACCCCAGCCATGGAATTCAAAGGAGCTGAAAACCAGTTCAAATTGTCTTCCCTTGAACTGAAACCAAATTTCAACATTTATTTTGAAGCTATGTTTAAGAAAGCAAGCCAATTTCAGCTACAGTTCAGCTCATGGCATAGCTGACTGAACTCCCTGCTACACAGTTAGACAGGTATGAGTGCTCAGCATTAAATGCTTCCATTTTGTTCCAGTGCAGCAATAAAAACAACAACAGGAAATAGTGAGGTACTAGAAATTATTCCTTAGGCTGGTACATAATAAACAGAACTTTCTGAATCACACCTCAGTCCTGAGGCAGCTGCCTTACTGTTTAACTTTAAATCCCATCCTGAGGGGAGTCCAGGAACTGACCTGCTCTCGATTTTGAGGACAAACATAAAACACCCTCCCATAGTTATTCTGGGAGAGCCATTTAAAGCAACAAGCTGTGCCATAAAGTGCTTGGGCACAAGAGCCACGTGCATGGCAGAGAGGGCACTGAATCTCCTCACACAGAGAGCTTGGCAGGGAAGTCCTTGGAGAGCCCTGCAGGGCAGACAATGGCTCATAATGAACTCCCCAGGCTGCACTCAAAGTTACCCACAAGGGAAACCACTGAAAAAAACCCCATCCTCAAAGGACAAGTACAATTAAAGGCTCTCGAAATTCCTATGGTGAGAATCCATAACAAACTACTTGCAAAATAACAACACATCATACACAGTGGATACTCACTAGGACTCGCTCACTCATGTTCTGTCCAAAAACAAACTTGTTGCTCGATGCATCTGCACTGTTTGTAGAGTTCTCTACACTGAAAAAAATGCAAAAAACAGAACAGGTTTTATAAGACAGAAAATTCTCTCTTATCTTCTGCTGACAAAATTCCTCACAAAGTGAGTGATTGTCACTAGCTTTAAAAAAATTAAGTGCTGGTTGATACAAGCATAGGTAAAAATTAATTCAACTTAGTAACATGAGAGCACATACTGGTTTTACAGAAAAACAATTCACTCCAAATGATGACCAAAGATTTTGTTAAGATCTTTCCCTTTAGATAACTAATTACATATGAAGCAATGCTGAATGCTAAGTGAGGCCTTACTGTTTAATCATAACATACTCTTTCAAAACCAGTATTCTACATGCATAAACTTGAACTACTACATTTTTTTTAGGTTAATTTTTTTCAGAAAGGAAAAGAACTGAAACAAATGCACTTCCAATACAGTAACTGAAACAAAGGTAGCAGGGATAAGTAATGCCTTTTATTAGACTAGCTGCAATACCCCAGCCTCTCCAAGAAGTTTCACAATCAAATCTCAGCCTTTACTCCTTCCTTACAGAATAAGCATCCTCCTCCCATTGTTATTGTTATTAAGAGATTTTAAATCCCATTTAGGAAGGACAACAGTTCTACTCTTTTACAGACTCAAAAGACTTAAGTCATTGTTCATCTGCCTTCCCACCAGAAAGACACCAACAAGCTCAGGAAGTGAATAAACAGACCACTCAAATCAAGCCTACTTGCATTTCACAAAGTTTGGAAAATGGGGGCACATCTGTCACTACATGAGTCAAGTGAAACCAAACAAACCTTTAAATTGTACATGTAGAGTTCATACTTCTGAATAAGAAGATCCTCAGGGGAAGAGAGCTTTACCTACTAAGGGAATTAAATGCCACAGTTCTGAGCTCCAAATGTTAACTCAGTATGACCTACTGGTATCTGCCCTGTGACCCAGTACATTTACAATTTTTAAAGGACTGATACTGTTACACAATGGGAGGAATCTCCTTTTACCAGTCCATTACCTTAATGCTTTGCCATCCCAGCTGAAAATTAGGGCCAACTCCCCTTACAGACACTTTATATTTTTTAAGACAAGTCCAAAATTAGGTTTCTGGCAATTGACCCACAATGAATAAATCCTCCCAAAGTGAAGACTCAAATGAATTATGATGGTAGATGTCATATGAGTTGAAAAAATATTCTAGTATTTGAAGCCCACATATTAGCAGTTATTGTCTGCCAAATCTGATTAAACAAATCTGTGTCTCTTGGAAAGGCATTGACCTGGCATCCAGAGGTAAATGTGTTCCCTACCTCTTGTGTGTACCACCTGAAAAGTTCAGCATCAAAAGTTCATTGACTGCAAAACTGCCTACTGCCTACTTCATAGTGAACAACAGGTCTTAAAAATGCAGAATGTAAGGACAAAGCAAACATGCATTGGTGCTTTTCCTACAATTTTTGCATGGCCTCAGATAATGTGCATTTCAGCTTGCTCCAGGAACAGAGATGTTGTTCTACTCCATCACTCTTGGTAGGATTTCCCCTCATGCTTTTCCAGTTATTACCTGAATTCACAGCTCTGTAAGATATTAGTTTTCTGTTTTCTACTATTTCTGTGTATTACTCGATATTTTTGACCACTACTAAGCTAGCATTTTCACAGAGTTGTATTGCTACCTTAGCCTCAAGTGAAGGCTGTCAACTCAGAGCTCATCACTGCAGACAGAATTAGCAGTTTTCTCCTTTAGCTGCCTCACTTTTCCTATGCCTGCATCATATTTCTTCTGATGCTACTGCCTGATCAGAAATTCTCTCAAAGACTTCCAACAGTTAGGTTCCTGCTTATTCACACAGGCCCTCTATATTGCTCTGAAAAGTTTACTACCTGTGGTGAGTCTTGTGTTATGTCTGGAAAAAAACCTCTTGCACTGCAACAAATTGTGGGAGGGAGGCTTGGACTTGGAAATTGGATTTTTGGGGGTCTCAAACCACGACACTACCATGAACAAATAATTTTTTTAAACTATTCTTCCCTTTACCAATATCATGTATGGAACATACTGAACACCACAAATGCAGCACAGATCTCTGCAGGATTCTACTGGGAGCTCCAATTTATTCCATCACCGTTCCTTTCTAATCATGAGAGAAGACTTCTCCCATCTTATGCTTGTTACTTTTCTGAAGAGTCTTTGGTGAGGCTGTGGTCATGTAAATGGTATCAAAAGCATCTCCCTTGACAGTCAGATTGAGGATTTCCCCAGATCTGAAGAATGTCATTGCATTCTTCAGCAGCCTGGCTTCCCACGACCCAGTCTGAACCTTGCACCCCATAAAGAGCAGAATCACCAAGAATTTCCAATCAAGAGTAAGGAGAACTGCCCTACAGGTTTTCCTGTAGTCTCACCTGGAACTGATGTACTGTAGGAAGTAGTTGGTGGCAGAAGGTGTATCTGCTGTGGGCAGGCCAGAGTTCTGCACGTCGGCGCTTTCGTCGCTCTCATCTCCCAGCTGGGAAAAGCACAAGGAGACATTTCCCAGTTTTAATTACTGACCACAAATGTTTCAACTCATTCCTTCTAAGGACAAAGTTCCACCCAAAAATGCTTTCTGCAATAAAACAATATAAGCCTGTGCCCCAGTATTACACTTCCTTTTTTTATGCCACGAAAGCTGTGCAAATCTGCCTTCAACAGGAGGGACTAACAATCCTACTCAGTTATTCCATGCACAGGTCTGAGCCCAGGCAGCCCTGTTTTTCTTTTCTCACCTTTTCTGTGAAGTCTTGGAGCATTTTAGGATTGCATTTCAACTTAATTCTGACTCAAAAGGTAAGAGAAAACAGTACATTGCACTGAGTTTTAGATGTTACTTATGACTGCAGTAGATGCATTTATTTTGAAAAAGTTTCTTATGCTACTTAACAGAATTAATACTTAACAGAATTATTAATTTATTAAATGTCTAAGACTAGTTTTATTAAATAGTCAACCTATGTTCACAACTTTTAATTTTACATATATACATGGAGGTTTTAACCCTGGAGCTTCAAAGTACTTCACAAACTTAGTCAAGAGAACAAACATGTTTACCTTGACTCTGTCTCTTAAGTTTTGCCCAAATACAAATGCTTGCTGTGCATTTAGTTCAGCCTTTTCACAGCTGTTATCTGAAGCATTGTTGGACTCCTTTTTCTGACATTCTCCTGCCTAAAGAAATGGAAAAATGCAGCCTGGGTATTTGAGCTTCTTTAAATAAAAACACATTATGACATGGTGAGTCACACACTCATTTACAATGATAAGCCAACAACACCTCAAGAGCTACAAGGCAAGTTTTGCACTTAAAATAACGTAGCTGTTGATGTTTAGAGTGTTTTTCTTAAAAAATATTCTGGAGAGACTCCAGCATTTAACACAACTACTGCATGAACTCAAGTAACTTCCACCTGTTCTAGAAAGCTTCAGGCAGGCAAAGCTGACTACAAATGCCAAGACAGTGAAGAATATCCCACCACATTCCTTAGTAAAATTGCAATTCAGTCATGAAGTTTTATCCCATTTAATATTGAGCCTTCAGAAATCCTCAGCATCCAGATTTAAGGGCTTTCTTCTATCAAAAAACTTTCTCCCAGGTCAGTTGGTTAAAAAAGTTAAGAGGACTTTTGGATGTTAAAAGCACAAAGAGGCTCTCCCTAATGATGCATAGAGCAGTAACAAGCATGTCCCACAAAGTTTTCATACTCCATGTGTGGAATTTACTTATCATTCCTCAGTTATGGCAGCAGTCTTTCACTAAACCTTAAAAAGCAGGGCACACTGCAAGTGTTTCTGCTTGGATATTCAGGATTGAGACTTGAATTTCAAGTGAACTGTTCCATACTCTTTGCACTAAACAATACTACTTCTGTGATCAATGTGGCATCAAAAAACCCACACTCAAAATCCCCAAACATCCTCCCCATGCTATCAGTCAGGATCTTCAGATGCCAATGGTTAGCTCAAAACCCACAGGGAAGGGAAGGACTGGATACACTGCACAGAACTGGAAGGAAATATTTCATTACTTTTCTTTCAAGATAGTAAATAAACAACTTTTGATGCACTTCAATGTCTTTTGTTCTAGGTGAGGCTTTTCAGCCTCTCATTACCTGCACTCTCCATTTCTTGTAGGGAATTCATTTACTGATGCTGGGTTTTTACTCTGTTCAGAGAATATTTAAGTCTGTTACTCTGAGTCTCCTTCTCTAACTCACCTTCTCTTCAGAGTCAGAACTTTTCAGTGTTGCATCACTTGGTAATTCTGATGTGGCTGCAGAATCTGGCAGGATATTTACACCATTAGTGCCACTGCT